AAAGGCAGTTTCTGGGCCAGGTGTGATGGTTCACACCTGTAATCCCAGCACGTTGGGAGGCTGAGGTGGGTGGATCGCTTGAGTCCAGGAGTTTGAGACCAGCCTGGCCATCATGGCAAAACCCCATCTCTACAAAAAAAAATACAAAAATTAGCTGGATGTGGTGGTGCATACCTGAAGTCCCAGCTACTTGGGAGGCTGAGGTGGGAGGATCACCTGAATTCAGGAGGTGGAGGTTGCAGTCACTTAAGATAGCGCTACTGCACTCCAGCCTGGATGACAGTGTGAGACCCTGTCTTAAAAAAAAAAAAAAGAACTGGCAGTGTCTAATTTTTCTAAATGTTTGCTGTTAGAAATAATGCCACAGGGCTGGATGCAGTGGCTCATGCCTGTAATCCCAGTACTTTGGGAGGCCGAGGCAGGCAGATCACCTGAGGTCAGGAGTTTGAGACCAGCCTGGTCAACATGGTGAAACCCCATCTCTACTAAAAATGCAAAAATTAGCCAGGCGTGATGGCGGATGCCTGTAATCCCAGCTACCCAGGAGGCTGAGGTGAGAGGATTGCTTAAGCCCAAGAGTTCAAGACTGCAGTGAGCAGTGATTGTGCCACTGCACTCCAGCCTGCCTGACAGAGCAAAACCCTGTCAAGGAAGGAAGGAAAGAAGGAAGGAGGGAAGGAGGGAAGGAGGGAAAGAAGGAAGGGGAGAAAGAAAGAAGGAAAGAGAGAGAGGCAGAGGCTGGTGTGGTGGCTCATGCCTGTAATCCCAGCACTTTGGGAGGCCGAGGCAGGCGGATCACAAGATCAGGAGATCCACACCATCCTGGCTAACATGGTGAAATCCCATCTCTACTGATTATACAAAAAATTAGCTGGGCATGGTGGCGGGCACCTGTAGTCCCAGCTATTCAGGGGGCGAGGCAGGAGAATCGCTTGAAGCAGGGAGGCAGAGACTGTAGTGAGCCAAGATCGCGCCGCTGCACTCCAGCCTGTGCAACAGAGCGAGACAAATAAAAGAATGCTAAAATGAATATCTTTGTATATATAGCTTTTTCTCTGCTTAAGAAATTAATCCTTTCTTTTTTTTTTTTTTTTTTTGAGACCGAGTCTTGCTCTGTTGCCCAGGCTGGAGTGCAGTGGCCGGATCCCAGCTCACTGCAAGCTCCGCCTCCCGGGTTTACGCCATTCTCCTGCCTTAGCCTCCCGAGTAGCTGGGACTACAGGCGCCCGCCACCTCGCCCAGCTAGTTTTTTGTACTTTTTAGTAGAGGACGGGGTTTCACCGTGTTAGCCAGGATGGTCTTGATCTCTGACCTTGTGATCCGCCCGTCTCGGCCTCCCAAAGTGCTGGGATTACAGACTTGAGCCACCGCGCCCGGCCAATCCTTTCTTGATTGCATCGTAATTTTCAAGACTAAAGAATTTTGACATCCTTACCCTCCTTGATTTAAAATGACTTACTATCAGGCGCGGTGGCTCACGCCTGTAATCCCAGTGCTTTGGGAGGCCAAGGTGGGCAGATCACCTGAGGTCTGGAGTTCGAGAACAGCCTGACCAACATGGAGAAACCCCGTCTCCACTAAAAATACAAAATTAGCTGGGCATGGTGGCACATGCCTGTAATCCCAGCCACTCGGGAGGCTGAGGCAGGAGAATCACTTGAACTTGGGAGGCGGAGGCGGAGGCTGCAGTGAGGCGAGATCGTGCCATTGCACTTCAGCCTGGGCAACAAAGAGCGAAACTCCGTCATAAAATAAAATAAAATAAAATATAAAATATAAAATAAAATAAAATAAAATCTTACTATCTAACCCTGGGCTATATCTCCAGGTAGGGGAGGGGTAATGAAGGCTAGATAGTAAGTATGTCACCCCCTGCACAGGTCTTCAGTGGGGCTTCTTCCACCTCCTGGTACAGAAATCCAAAAAGTCTTCCACATTCAATTTCTGTAGGAGACACAAGATGCCAGCACCTGCTCAGGTACTCTCCCTTTCAGTTCCAGCCCTACCCAATGCCCCACAGACCTTTGCTTTCTGGCCTCTCATTTGGTTCTCCAGCCATGTGAGACAGAAAGTGTGGAGATGAAGTATTCTGTCTATTACACAGCTAGGGAGGCCAAAAGAGTTTGAGCAGCTGCCACAGTACCTCAGATTCCAGAGGCAGAAACAGAAGCCAGGTTTCCTGATTCCTGGCCCGAGGCCAACCTTGTTCTCTGCCTTTAGAGGAAGCCGCTGCCTAGTCGTCGCCTGTCTGAGAAGAGCCATCACATTTCCATCCCCTCCCCAGACATCTCCCACAAGGGACTTCGCTCTAAAAGGACCCAACCTTCGGATCCAGAGGCATGGGAAAGTCTTCCCAGATTGGACTCACAAAGGCACGGAGGTGGGCACTGGGTACAATAGGAGATGGGTTCAGTTGAGTGGTGAGGTGCTAAGGCCAAGAGACAAGGCCACTGAGTCCTTCCTCTCCCCAGGGCCCGAGTTCTCCTTTGATTTGCTGCCCGAGGCCCGGGCTATTCGGGTGAACATACCTTCAGGCCCTGAGGTCAGTGTGCGTCTTTGTCACCAGTGGGCACTGGAGTGTGAGGAGCTGAGCAGTCCCTATGATGTCCAGGTATGGCGTGTCATCCCCTGTAAAAAGCCCGATCACACAGTGCTAGCAACAGAGGCCACCCATTGTACACATGGGGAAACTGAGGCCCAGAAAGGGACGGTAACTGTCCAGGACCTCCTTACAAGCTGAAGGGTCTATCATTAAGACTTCTTTGGGCATGGCATGGTGGCTCACACCTGTGGTCCCAGCACTTTGGGAGGCCAAGGCAGGAGGATTGCTTGAAGCCAGGAGTATAAAACCAGCTTGGGCAACATAGTGAAACCCTGCTGCTAAAAAAAAAAAAAAAATTAAAAGAAAGACTTCTTTGGACTAGACAGAAAGGGCAGAGGGCCTTGTCACCTGGAAGAACAGGAAAGGCAGGCAGAGAACTGGAGCAGACATGAATGACCATGAATGAGCAGAGAAATTAGTATGGTATTTACCCCTAATGAGAGGATCCTCAGTGTGATTTAGGTATTAAGAAGCCTTTTCTTGAGCTTTAAGTTAGTGACAAGAGAAAATAATTGTTAATTAAATATTTAAAAAGCCTTTTCAGCTTCCCTAAGAGGTTGTACCATTTGAGAACATAACAAAATGGTCACATCTGTCTTACTCTTCCATCTCCCTCCCTTTGTTCCTGCCACTCAGAGAATGATATGTCCCCCATTCTCCCAACCTGGGCCCCAACATCCCACCTCAACCTCCCTTTGTCATGGATGCCATTGTATACAGTTGGTACCATTTGCAGGGACTGCTGCTGTACCCCTGAGACCCTCAGCTCATCATTTTTATAACGATGAGGATACCTCATAAGTTCACTGTGATGCTAGCATGGAGTGAATTGATTTAATGCTTCTAGCACTCACCACACACCCTGGCATACAGTAGGGACACAATAAAGGAATGTATTCCCTGTCTCCTTCCCCACAACTCCACCTAGAGTACCTAGAGCTAATGCTTAGATTACTAAGCAGACAACCTTTGAGAGATTTATCAGAAGAGGTATCTCATATAAGAGGAAAAACAGGGTGTGTTGGCCAAGATCCCAGCACTGTTCTGCCCTTGTCTGTGTGCCTATGCTCTTTCTCAGGCATCTTTTGTCTTCCTTTGCTGTTTCATCCACAGAAAATTGTGTCTGGGGGCCACACTGTAGAGCTGCCTTATGAATTCCTTCTGCCCTGTCTGTGCATAGAGGTGAGCAAAGGAAAAGGTGTGGGCTGTCCATGGCTCTGCTCCTAAGTCGCCAAGGTGGCACAGTTGGTCAAGTATATCTCCAGTAAACTGGGTTTAAAAAGGACTGGGTGTTACTGGCATGCTTAGGAAGAGTGGCAGCAGCTTGGCTGTGAGCCACACATGGGGTCAGAGGTGGAACGGTGCTGCTGAACATTGGACCTTCTTAGGGTGATTCCAACCTCAGCCCCATCCAAACCCAGCTTTCCCTGGCTCAGACCTGGCCTCAGCCCACAGAGCCAGAATAGGCAGCTGTCATCGCTATGTGTTCTGAGGAGTCGAGGAAGGAGTGTGTACATGGCCACTGCAGGGTTCCATATGCCCCCAAAAGTCTTGCCCCCTCTAGGCCTCTGTGGCAGTCCTCCTTTTCTCTTTACAAGTCTAAGGAACATATCAGAAAGTTTTCTATGGACTAGACAGAAGAGGCAAGGGAAATTGTCACCTGGGAGACCTAAGGGAGGATGATGGCAGAGACCTAGAGCCACGAGCAATTGCCAGGGTGGACAGCAGGTGGGCATGTTGGCATTCCAGAGTCAGGAGCTAACACAGAGCACTGGGTGCCTTGGGGATGGCTGAGAGTGGAGGCCAGAAAAGACCAAAACTGAGGAATGCAACCTCAGGATTTACTTCTTTCTGGGGATAGTTCTCTTTAGGAGGAAAGGAATTAGCCCCTCACTTGCTTATCCCTCTCCTATGCTCTGGAGTTCCTACCTACCCTTGCCCCCACCCCACATTGCCCCCTCCCACTCGGTGCCTGGCCAGCTCAGGCAGCTTGCGTCACAGTAAGGTAAAGCCAGAATGAGTTTTAGGTCTGAGTGAGATTGGAAAAGCCATTCCTCTGACCCTCCCCACCTGCTCCCCTGTCCCCCTAGGCATCCTACCTGCAAGAGGACACTGTGAGGCGCAAAAAATGTCCCTTCCAGAGATGGCCGGAAGCCTGTGAGTGCTGCTGACATGCACCCTTGTGCACACACATTCCCTTTCTCTTTCTGTCTCCTACACACACATGCACGCACACACACACACCACACTTCACACGTTTGCTGGAGGAAGCCCCCAGAAGGCATACAGGTACTTCCCTGGAGTCAGTGAGGAAAAGGGCTGCCAAGTCTACCAGTCAGCTTGCCAATAGATCAGAGAGCACTGAGCACTGAAGCACTGTGAGAAGTTCAGAAATAGGAGGCCTAGGAGATGGTGTCCTAAGACGATGGGCCAGAAGACCCAGTTCCCATCCCAGCTCTGTCAGTTGTTCTTCTCTGAGCCTCACTTTCCTCATCTGTAAAATCTCAATACCTGCTCTGCCTTCAAAGCGTTTGTGAAGCCTGAGTTAAATATTACATGTGAAAGTGGCTGGTGATGTCTGAAGTGCTGTATGCATGTTGTTCTCAAGGAGAGGCAGGACACTCGGACATAAGTGAATCGCATAAAGCAGCCTACAGAACTTACAGGGCAGGGTTATAGTTAAGGACTAGGCTGTAGGGCAAGAACTCCGGAAAGGGAGAAGTCCCAGAAGGGCCATTGTAAGCAGAGAAGGCCTCTTAGAGGAAGTGGCATCTGAGCTGGGGTCAGAAAAAGGGCAGGATTTAGACAGGAGAGATAGAAGGGGAAGACATTCCTGGTTCTGAGAGGACCCTAAGCAGATTTTGAGTTGGGGGAGAAGCAAGGAGCTGGCCAGAATAGAGGCCTGGGAAGGAGAGAAGAGAGACCCTGGATAGAAAGATAATGAAGCCAGGCGCAGTGGCTCATGCCTATAATCCCAGCACTTTGGGAGGCCGAAGCGGGCAGATCACCTGAGGTCAGGAGTTTGAGACGAACCTGGCCAACATGGTGAAACCCTGTCTCTACTAAAAATACAAAAAATTGGCCAGGCATGGTGGTGCGCGCCTGTAGTCCCAGCTACTCGGGGGGTCAAGACAGGAGAATTACTTAAGCTCGGGAGGCGGAGGTTGCAGTGAGCCGAGATCACACCACTGCACTCCAGCCTGGGTGACAGAATGAGACTCCATCTCAAAAAACAAAAACAAAAAACAGAAAGGTAATGAAAGGGGGCCGGGCGTGGTGGCTCACACCTGTAATCTCAGCACTTTGGGAGGCCGAGGTGGGTGAGTCACAAGGTGAGGAGTTCCTGAGGTCAGGAGACCAGCCTGGCCAACATGGTGAAAACCCATCTCTACTAAAAATACAAAAATCATCTGGGCTTGGTGGCTCACACCTGTAATCCCAGCTACTGAGGCATGAGAATCACTTGAACCCAGGAGGCAGAGGTTGCAGTGAGCCAAGATCGCACCACTGCACTCCAGCCTGGGAGACAGAGTGAGACGCTGTCTCAAAAAAGAAAAGAAAGATAATGAAAGGGATGCTCATTGATTGAGTACCTGTTCAGGCCAGGAACAGTACTGGTTACTTTTACAAACATCATCTCCTGCTGCCCCCAGGATGTGGGTGGCAAGGTGGGGCTGAAGCAGGGCTGACCCTCACCCACTGACCCTACCACCTGCCCAGATGGCTCGGACTTCTGGAAGTCAGTGCACTTCACTGACTACAGCCAGCACACTCAGATGGTCATGGCCCTGACACTCCGCTGCCCACTGAAGCTGGAAGCTGCCCTCTGCCAGAGGCAAGACTGGCATACCCTTTGCAAAGACCTTCCAAATGCCACGGCTCGAGAGTCAGACGGGGTGAGGACAGGTTCCCCCAGGACCAGGGTGGGCAGGGCTGGGGCCCAGGAATTTTCTCCCTGATGAACTCTTCTCTCCTCCCACAGTGGTATGTTTTGGAGAAGGTGGATCTGCACCCCCAGCTCTGCTTCAAGGTACAACCATGGGTGAGAAGAGATGTGGGGTAGTGGGTATTGCCTGGAGCTTGCTAACCTGCATTCCTATATTTCTCAGTTCTCTTTTGGAAACAGCAGCCATGTTGAATGCCCCCACCAGACTGGTAAGCCAATAAGTGACCTCTGCTGGGAACCCCTGCCCCATTTCATCCTCACCCAACTGTGACCAAGCTGAACCCCAGCCCAGCCCTGAATTCATCACCCGAAGCCAACTCCTATCAACACCCCCACCCTGCCCCAAACAGGGTCTCTCACATCCTGGAATGTGAGCATGGATACCCAGGCCCAGCAGCTGATTCTTCACTTCTCCTCAAGAATGCATGCCACCTTCAGTGCTGCCTGGAGCCGCCCAGGCTTGGGGCAGGACACTTTGGTGCCCCCTGTGTACACTGTCAGCCAGGTATGGCCTCGCCCCCACTAGGTCCTATTGCTCAGAGCACAGCCCTCAATTTCCTTGTCACCTCATTGAGATAGACCCTGGGAAGGCAGAAACAAACAAATCCCTGACTTCTACCATCTGGTTTACTTTATTTACGTGATCAGCCTTTGTTCAGCTGACTTGCTGACAGTAGATTCCTCAAGGGAGCATTTTCCTTTTTTTTTTTTCTTTTGAGACGGAGTCTCACTCTGTCGCCCAGGCTGGAGTGCAGTGGCACGATCTCGGCTCACTGCAAGTTAAGGGAGCATTTTCTAATCCTTTCAGTTTCTGAATTTACAGGAATAACAGAGGCAAGGGACTGGCCCTCCCACATTCAGGTGTTCTCTAGCCCAGGGGTCCCAATCTCTGAGCCGCAGACCAGTACCCACCTGTGGCTTGTGAGAAACCAGGCCACACAGCAGGAGGTGAGTGGAGGGTGAGCAAGCATTGCTGCCTGAGCTCTGCCTCCTGTCAGACCAGTGGCTGCATTAGATTCTTATAGGAGCGCAAACCCTATTGTGAACTGTGCATGTGAGGGATCTAGGTTGTGAGCTACTTATGAGAATCTAATGCCTGATGATCTGAGGTGGCTTCATCCTGAAACCATTCTCCCAACCCCAACCCCTTCAACCTCTGTGTAAAACTTTTCTTCCATGAAACCAGTCCCTGGTGCCAAAAAGGTCGGGGACCACTGCTCTAGCCTAACAAAACAACATTTTATATTGATGCCTTCCCTTGAACCCAGCTGTCCACTACCACTACTCTCCTGCCTCCACGAGGCACCTGTGCAGAAGTTATCTATCCCAGGAGGCAGAGCCCATGCAGCTGACAGGCTCTGCACAATCCTGTAAACTACTGACAAATTTCACCTGTTACGTGACTAGGCGCACTTTATCAGACTATCTTCCATGTATCTGATATAAAAACCACAGTCAAATACACCCTTAATACCACAGCACCAAGCTGACTAAGCATGACTAGCACTTCCAAACAGTTATTTCTTAAATGCTCACTTGCAGCTTATACGTTTGTTTTGTATTGTATGAGGGCTCCCAAGCAGACAGGTGATAGTAACACGGTATGTAAGACCAAGTCACGCTTAAGATGGCCAGGTGCAGTGTCTCACACTTGTAGTCCCCACTGAGGCAGGAGAACTGTGTGAGCTCAGGAGTCCAAGGCTGCAGTGAGCTATGATCATGCCACTGCACTCCAGCCTGGGTGACAGCATGAGACTCGGACTCTAAAAAAAAAATGTTTTTAATTAAAATTCTGTCCAATTTAGTATGCATTGTTCCCACCCTGTAGCAGGGAGGGAGTGTATCTCTGGGAGATACAAGAAAAGTATATAACACAGTTAAGGAGTTCACAGACTAATAATAGCTGTTACCAATAAATGAATATACATTGCAGTTTATTTAAAAAGATATTCATGTGCATATACCCATTTGATGCTCTCAATAACCCAGTAAAATAAAGATTATTATCCCTCACATAAAAACCAAGAAAGTAGGCCAGGCGCAGTGGCTCACGCCTATAATTCCAGCATTTTGGGAGGCTGAGGCAGGCAGATCACCTGAGGTCAGGTGTTTAAGACCAGCCTCACCAACATTGCAAAACCCGTCTCTACTAAAAATACAAAAATTAGCTGGGCGTGGTGGCGTGCACCTGTAATCCCAGCTACTCAGGAGGCTGAGGCAGGAGAATAGCTTGAACCCAGGAGGTGGAGGTTGCAGTGAGCCGAGATTGTGCCAGTGCACTCCAGCCTGCATGACAGAGCGAGACTCTGTCTCAAAAAATAAATAAATAAACATAAAAAAATAAAAATAAAAATGAGGAAAGTGAGGCTTAGGAAAGAGAGATAACCTGCCTCCATGCAAAGACCACACAGTTAGGGACTACAAAGGCAATAGGTAAGCCTGAACCCAGGTCTCCTGACCCTAAAACTTACATTCTTTTCAGTGATATGTTGTGATACCTCTTCAGCTGTGCAGGAGAGTAAAGTGAGGCAGCCTTCCTGGTTTGTGAGCTGCTAGAGGACAAAGACAATGTCCGCACCCGCCTTCTTTCCTCAGGGCTTGGCACAGAGGACATACTCAGAGTCTGTCTGTTTGACAAATACCTGACTGCAGCAGGAGCTGAGCTCTGGGAAAGATCAGTGGGAGCCGGAGTGGCTGAGGAAGCCTTCTTGTCAGAGGTGGCACTTGGCCTAAACCTCTTAGGACTGGGGGTATGGTGGGGAGGAATAGCAGGGGCAAAGACTCAAGGCCAGACAGGGCCAGATTCACCTCCCTCAGGAGAGCCTTTCTGCTCTTTGTTTCTACAGGCCCGGGGCTCAAGTCCAGTGACACTAGACCTCATCATTCCCTTCCTGAGGCCAGGGCGCTGTGTCCTGGTAAGGAAACCTACTCTCACTCTACATACAGAGCCCTGGCATCTACTCCCGTGGTAGCACTCACCCATGGAAAATCCATTCTGCAAAAATGTTTGGTTTGGCCAGCACGGTGTTTTGAATGGAAATTACTTACCGCCATTTACATATATAAACAAAGCTGGATTTCTGACTTCTGTTAAAAAATCAGAAAAACCTAGTGCCGGGTGTCCGCACTCTGGCATGGTGACAATGGCCTGGAGCTCAGCGCCTTCTGATTGTTTCAGTCAGGGCCTGTGCTCTCCAGATGCTCACAGCAGCCCTGGTCAACTTTGAGTTTACTTCTCGAGTTTGGCCCCTGTCACACTTGAGTTTGCCACCATTGACCTGTGCTGTGCCAGGCCAGGAGCTGGAGCAGACACAAACCCACCTGGGAAGAATTTCCTAGCCAGTGGGAACTCCCCTCTCCCCCAGCTCCACACTTCACTCAGCTCCCTGGGGAGGAGAATATGCCTGGTTCATAGGGCTGGGGGACTCTGTGCCCTCAGGTGTGGCGGTCAGATGTCCAGTTTGCCTGGAAGCACCTCTTGTGTCCAGATGGTGAGTTCTTGGGGAGGGGGAGGTAAGAGGGAGGCTGGGCACTGAGGAACTGGGCTTGGCCTCACCCTGCTTGACTCAGTCTCTTTCAGACGCCTGGGGCTCTTGATCCTGGCACTGCTGGCCCTCCTCAGCCTACTGGGTGTTGTTCTGGCCCTCATCTGCCGGCGCCCACAGTCAGGTAAGCTCACCTGGGGGTAACCTGAGTAGTCAGACCTGCCCAGCTCCGAGGCTAGCTGCCCCCTCACCCTCCCCTGTCTGAGCTCTTTGCACTGCACCCAGTCTCTTGTTACCCAGGCAGGGATCCTCAGGCCCCCAAATGGGCAGGAATGGTTAAGGCAGGGCAAAGGGCCCTCTGAGCAGATTGTCACTGTACTAAGTCTCTGGACAAAAGGCTAGTGGGGCAGAAATCCAGCCTGCGCTGTACTTGCCCAGCCTGGAGCCCTCTTTTCAGAAGGGGTGCCTTTATCTAATTAGCCCATAGGCTAGGGCTGCTTTTGGTACCAACCCCCAGAGCAAACAAGGGGCGGGGGCGGAGAGGCGAGAACCTTCGGTATCCGGAGAGGCTGGGGAGGAGAGGGCTGAGTAGTCTCTCAGCCCCCACCCCTTCATCTGTTGCTCCCCGCCACTAGGCCCGGGCCCAGCGCGGCCAGTGCTCCTCCTGCACGCCGCGGACTCCGAGGCGCAG